TATGATCTAATTTAATAACGTAATTGAAAGATGCAGTATTGCTTAACCTGGTTTTGTCACTGTAGTGTTGTCACTACTTCACATATCTGTTTCTGTTTATATTATGTTTTGCAATTAATCCCAAGTACAAATATGCGTTTGCAAATTGGTATATGCTAATTGAATACCATTTTGAAAAATTGTGAATCTAGGAAGCTGCTAGTCTCAAGTATTGAAGATCTAGAGGTATGGGGAATTGCTTGGTTATTGCTTTCTAATAGAAGGATATGTTTTGTCTAAACTTGGCTAATTAATATTGATTTACAAGGCTAAGTATAATTCTAAAAACTTCTTCATGAGATTCATTACATTCGTTTCATGCATTCTGAAAGGTATTAAATCAAAGATTTTATGGTGATCTTGGTTTCTAAGAGAGCGCTTTCAAATCTTGTAGTTAGTTTTCAAGTGATTTTTAAATTTTTTTTTTTACCATTTTCTTTTAAGCTACTGAATGCTCTAGACTGCAGATGCATCATGTTCTTGAAATTACTTGCAAAAATCGTAATCTTCAAAGAGGTTGCAGAACCAGCAAAATAAGCATTTTTTTTTCCCAAACAGAGTATGAAAAGTTTGTTAATAGAGAAATTTTATTAGGCTGATGTTTCTTTGTACTTTAGTTTCATAACTATTGAACCACATTCATCAACTACTAATTATATTCTATTCATTCGAAGATAAAATAGGATTACTATTTCAGTTAGGAAAAATACCTAGGATAAATGGACTAAACGTTCAATTTGCCAACAACTAAAGTATGGAACAAAAAATGGGGAAGCTGTATTTCTCTTGAATCACAAAACTTACACTTCTACAGTTGCTAAGAACTCTGCAATTTGTTTTTTATGATAATGTGTTTCTTGCATCCCTTTCAGTGTAAACATGGTGGTGGGGAGAGTTTGAAAAGATTTACCAGTGACTTGGAGAATGGCTTCTATTGAAAAGTATGGAAGAGTTGCTTTGGTGTTTTTGTTAAGTTGGATCAGTGTAGCCCTTCTGTTGTTGCTTTTTGCTATGGAAAATTATGGAAGAGCCTGTGGTCAATTAAGTTGGATCAGTGCGCCCTTCTGTTGTTGCTTTTGCTAAGCAGATTTGTGACTGGCAAGCCGAAATGGGAAACTGCATTTTTGAGGTTAGAATCTACATGCATGTGAATGATTCTCAATTATGTAATTCTTTGCTATTCCATATGGATGCTAACTTTCTTACAAACTTATTATTTCTTTTTTTTGATTTGATGTCATTTTGTTTTCTATATTTTGCACTATTTTTTCATAGATCAAAATCCCTGAATATGATGGATCACAAATAGAAGAGTCTATACTAGGCGACTTGAATTGGTCGGGCTCACAGTGAATTAAAAGTTACTCTATGTGTCTGGTTCGGTTAACGAGACTTGACCAAAGTTATTTTTAATTCAATTTTTCATAATATTAAGTTTAGTATTAGTATGCAAAATTTATATATTTAGAAACTAGACTAAAAGTAATATTAAACAGAAAAAAATCAAATTTAAAAATAAGTAAAAAATACTAAAGAAAATAAACAAAGAAGTGTGAATTGGTTTGACCAATGAATAGTGAGTAGGAGTGTAGAACAGATAAAATGGGACAGAGGGAGTATTTAAAATGGGAATAAGGTTCAAATTGGCCACTGAACGTAACCTGAAAATGCAATTAGCCCACTGAACGAAAAAAAAAATTGCAATTAGACCACTGAACACTCCAAAAATGTGCAATTAAGCCACTGAACTCTCTAAACGTATGCAATTTCACCGGATAGCAGGTTACCATCAATTTTAGCAGGTTACCTGCTTACGTGGCAGCTGGTTGACATTTTTAATAATTTTTAATAATTAATTTTAATAATAAATTTTATAAAAAATTGAAAAAAAATAAATAAAAAATAAAATAAAGTCGTTTTTATTTTTTAACAAAATTTTTAAATAAAAATTTATTATTAAAATTTATTAAAAATATTTAAAATTTATTAAAAATGACAACTCAGCTGCCACGTAAGCAGATAACCTACTAAAATTGAGGGTAACCTGCTGTCGGGTGAAATTGCACATTTTTGGAGTGTTCAGTGGCCTAATTGCACTTTTTTTTCGTTCAGTGGCCTAATTGCATTTTCAGGTTACGTTCAGTGGCCAATTTGAACCTTATTCCTTTAAAATGGTATTTCTGAGGCTTCATTTGTCTTTGTACCTGCATGCCAAATGAAATGAATGGTTTTGCTGCCTTGTTCAGATAATTGAAGGTTACAAATGGTAATTGCTCTTGATTGACAAACAAAGTTTTAATGGCAAAATGTTAGGGACCGGGATATTAGAATCGCGTCACAGACCTAAGAACTTAAGAATACAAATGAAGCGTTTCTGGAGTGCATCGCCTCCCCAATCTTTCCTTAATAGAAAGCCAAAAAATTCTGAATTTCCAAAGTCCCCTTCTTTAATTACATAGGTAGCTATTTATACATAATAATATAAAACTACCCACTACCTAAGTGCTTGTAACTACCTAAGAAAGTGGGCTATCCCACTACAATAATAATAATAATAATAATAATAATAATAATAATAATAGTAACAACACTATGGTTGTAACACAAAATCAATACTTGTAGAATGCATAGTGCCTTGCATAGCTTCTGTGTAGGAGAAGCTCAGAAAGAAGGTATTTTATGTGTAGTCAAAACTTTTTCATGAGATTTATTACATCCGTTTCATGCATTCTGTAAGGTATTAAATCAAAGATTTTATGGTGATCATGGTTTCTAAGAGAGCGCTTTCAAATCCTGTAGTTAGCTTTCAAGTGATTTTTTAATTTTTTTTTTTTTTTTACCATTTTCTTTTAAGCTACTGAATGCTCTAGACTACAGATGCATCATGTTCTTGAAATTACTTGCAAAAATTGTATTCTTCAAAGAGGTTGCAGAACCTGCAAAATAAGCATGCCTTTGCCCCACAGAGTATGAGAAGTTTGTTAACAGAGAAATTATATTAGGCTGATGTTTCTTTGTACTTTAATTTCATAACTATTGAACCACATTCATCAACTACTAATTATATTCTATTAATTCAAAGATAAAATAGGATTACTATTTCAGTTAGGAAAAATACCTAGGATAAATGGACTAAACGTTCAATTTGCCAACAACTAAAGTATGGAATAAAAAATGGGGAAGCTGTATTTCTCTTGAATCACAGAATGAAATTATCTCACAAAACTTACACCTCTACAGTTGCTAACAACTCTGCAATTTGTTTTTATGATAATGTGTTTCTTGCATCATTTTCAGTGTAAACATGGTAGTGAGGAGTGAAAGGTTAGATTCTACAGCATGTGATCCATTCTCCATTATGTAATTCTTTGCTATTTGCTATTCCATATGGATGCTAACTTTCTTTACAAACTTGTTATTATTATTATTATTATTTTTTTTTTATTTCATCTCATTTTGTTTTCTCTATTTTGCACTTTTTTTTTCATAGGTCAAAATCCCTGAATATGATGGATTCACAGATAGAAGAGTCTGTACTAGGTGACTTGAATTGGTCTGACTCACAGTGAATTAACAGTTATTTAAAATGGTATGTGTCAGGCTTCATTTGTCTTTGTACCTGCATGCCAAATGAAATGAAATGGTGTTGCTGCCTTGTTGAGATAATTGAAGGTTACAAATGATAAAGTCTCTTGATTGACAAACAAAGTTTTAATGGAAAAATCAAGACTTGAAGAATGCATAGTGATTTACATAGGAAAAGCTCAGAAGGAAGGTATTTTTATATGCAGTAAATACTCAACAACATTCAGGATTGCCATTAAAAGTGTTTGCAAATTCCTGTCATTGGCTAAGTTTTTACTCACACAGTTTTGACTATTATGTGCTCTTTAGAACAAACATCTCTCCCTCCATTTTCACCTTTCATGAAAATTCTGAAATGTTTTTTCATCTCAAACTGTTAAGAGTTTTGGCTTTTGTTACTTCTATATTCCTTCAAAGAGTGCCACTGTATTTAGGGGGATTTAGTTTTTCTAAGATACCTATCCATAACACAATGGTTTGAGGGTATGGATGATGTAGTGGCAAATAATCCAAATTTACAAACACTTGGGGTTGTTTCTAACAATGAATCACAATTTGGAGCAGCAACTGTGCAATTTGGATCCTCCAAGCATGGTTAAAGAGAATTTGCAATCATTATCTTGGATGGTCAGACCAATTCATTGCAGAAAGGAGGTGTATGATAACTTACCAAAAAAAAACTGAAAACTTTCTTCAACGAGACATAGATGCCAGTCATACTCGTGGATCTTGCAGCAATCCCATTGTTTTGGATTATCTTGGCTATTTGGAAGAGCTTGAGAAGTTAACTATTTCTGTATCAGTTGTCTGTGCGGTAACTCTTACAGAAAGTTCTTTGTTTCCTTCACAATTGAAAAAGTAGAGGTTGAGTGGGACTAATCTTTCTAAAAGGGATTTGATCGTAATTGGCATGTTGCCCCAACTTGTGGTGCTCAAGTTGGAAAGTGCCTTCCATGGAGCAGTATGGGAATTATCTGATGGAGGATTCCATAGATTAAGATTGTTGTTGCTTGAAAATAAAAAACTGAATTGAAGTGGTGAGAAGCCTGCCATAATCACTTTCCAATGCTTGAGCACTTAATCTTAAGATTCTGTAATCGTTTGGTTGATATCCCTCTGGGGTTTGCAGATATTCTCACTCTGAAATCAATTGAGTTGGAGTGCTGCAGTTCCCTTATCACTTCTGGCAAACGAATTCAAGAAGAGCAACAAGATTGTGGAAACGATATTTTAGAGATTAGAAGCAAAAGTGCTACTCAGTCTTGATTTTTTACTCTGTATTTCTTTCCTATTCAATGATGACTTTCTTTACAAAATCAGTTACTATTTCTTTTTCTGATCTCATTCTGTTTTCGATCTACATTGTTTTTTCATAGGTCAAAATCCCGGGCACTGTATATGATGAATCACAGAGTACAGAAGAAGACATAGCCAGCCTGCCTCACCCTCTCAGAGTGAATTACTGTTAACGTACTGTTGTTACAAATGATACATGGGCTCCTGCTTTCAAATCGTGTAGTCTGTTATCAGGTGATGTTCTTTTTTTAATCCATATCATTTTATTTTAAGTTAGAATGCTTTAAACTATAGATCCATTGTATTCTTGAATTAGCTTAGCTTTGTATTTTAAACTATGTGTATGTACACATACATTGCTGTACTTGGTTTTGTCACTATACTTGGTTATTGAAGATCTACAGCTTCTTGTCGAGGAAGCGGGAAGCTGCTAGTGCTCAAGTATTGAAGATCTACAGCTTCTCCTCTCTACAGGTAAGATATACTTGGTTATTTCGTTCTACCTTTGGATAATTGGTATTGATTTGCAAGGCTAAGTTTGAGGTTAGACTGAATAAGCATGCCTTTCCCCAATAGAGAATGAAAAGTTCTTCAATACAGAAATTATAATAGACTGATGATGCTTTTTATCTTATCTTTGACAGACAAATAGTTTCTCATTTGCAGGTGGTTAAGATGATTTGGAGCCCTATGTCACTTGTAGATCGGGAAGGGCTGCATCCATTACGATGAATAATGTTTGAGGTTAGAAGCTACGTACAACATGCTTCATTCTAAACTTTTTACTTTCTTTATAAAAGTCTTTACTATTTCTTTATCTAATCTTATTTCGTTGTCTTATTTTTTCGTAGATTAAAATCATCAGGCTTGAATGAGGAATCACCGTATCCACATGTAGAAGACGACTTGACCAAGCTCACAGTGAATTTACTGCTTTTTGAAAAATGGTACTTATGTTGAGACATATTACAATATACTGTTTGATCTATTATAAAACATGACTAGTTTTCTGCTTTCTCATTCAAAAGATATTCTTCGACAGCCAAATGTTTTTCATTTGCAGGGCATTAAGGATAAACTTCCTCAATCCCAGATAATAGAAAGATGCAGTATGATGAGACCCGGTTTTGTGAATATAGTACTCCCAATTAAGCAAGGCAATGGATAGCTGAATAGTTACTATGTTTGGTCAAGATGCTATTGCAGAGTATCCAACATATGCTAATAGATGGTGTTGAAACACAAGCTAAGATGCTTCCTGTCATTGGTGAAACCCCCTCTTGCCAGTATGCTTGAGTTAACTAATTTTGATGGTTTTCAAAGGATTCATCTTGGTGGTTGTAGCTGGCAAGTTTATCATCCATCTGGTGCCTTTATGAGATGATCATACGAGTATATGATTTTACATCTAGCTTTCTTTTCTATTTTTCAATTGATTTTTGTTTGCAGATTGGTGTGGCGATTGAATATGTTGCAGAAAATTTTCAATTCATGATTATCAAGATTTTTTGCTATCTAAAAACGCCTCACGTTCACCTCTTTATAGATATGCCTCATACAACACTGCTAATCTTGCAAGAAGTTCCCAATGACTCATATTTCAAAGAATGCCCGTGCAATTAGGGGATTTAGCTTTTTTTTTTTTTTAGATATATTTATTCATAACACAATGGTTCAATCTAGATTTAGAGACGCTTGTTATTTCCGGTTGTGGAGCACCAACTATCCATTGGCATCCAGTATTTGGAAGCCACCACACTTAAGACATCTCAAACATGGCAATTCATATATGGTAGATATGATCCAAGTACAGATAAAAAGAATTTACAAACATTATCTTGTGTGGTTGGGTTTACAACAAGTTCCCTAACATAAAAAAAGCTGAAAAATATTGGTGAAGGATGACATAGAGCCCCCCTCCCCCCGTCACATTGGAGGATATTGCAGCAATAATTCTATTATTTTGAATCATTTGGAAGGGATTGAGAAGCGGTATCTCTATTGGTTGCAATGCAACCCTTCTAGAAGAGTGTATGCATCCTTCCTTGGAACAGTATGGAAGGATTTAAATGTAATTGAATGTGATTACTATTTGTGAGAAGGATTTAAATGTAATTGCAAAGTTACCCAAGCTTATGGTGCTCAAGTTAGAAAATACCTTCCTTGGAACAGTATGGAACTCAATAACTAAAGAGGGATTTCCGACCTGCATTAGTTTTCTTGCTCATTGAGGCTAAAAACTGAAGCAGTGGGTAGTTGGGCAGAAGCACTTTCAAATGCTCAGGGAGTTAGTAGTCTTAAGATCTTGTAATTGCTTGGAATAAATGTAACACCCTGTGTTACGGCCGCCAAATTCGAACTAATTATGGAATTAATTTCATTAATATATAATTAAACAAGGATTTAATTAGGCTTGAATTCCCTTAATTAATTAGTACGGTCCACAATGGACCATGAACTCTTATCCCTAGCACAGCCTTATCCCGTTGGGAATAGGGAAAGTGGGCCTTCAGATTCTACGTAGGATTCCTGAATCTATATATAGGGGATTAGAAAGCATTTAGAAACCCTACTATGGATAGCTCTGCCACCCGAAATATTCTCTCAGGTAATCTAGCAAAGGAATTCCCTCTACCGAGCCTAGGGAGAATCAATTGGAAAGAGTTTAGAGAAAAACATTAGTAGCCAGGGGAATTTTATTAAGGGCTAAGAGGTAATCCATGTCTTACAAAATCTATTTTCCTTGCTATTGTATATTGATTGGTTCCGTTGTTGATTGAAGGTGTGATTTTGTATGTATATCTTGTTAGAGCTTGTCTCTAGGTTTATACAATGAATTCTTGTCATTCTTGACGATCTTAATGGCCATGTGTGGTTACTGATATGATCTTGTATTTAATTATGTCTAGAGCTCGTCCCTAGGGTTTATATCGTGAATCTCGTTATTGTGATGTTCTTGGTGTTCTTGGGTGGGTTTATGCATGCTCGGGTATTGATTTTAGTCTAGGACTTGTCTTTAGGGCTTTTCATATAGATTTCTTTATATACTTGAGGTTCCGGATGCTCCTGAACTGTTATGTGATTGATGTCGAGTCTTGGCATATCTAGGAATCGTGACAGAATGTAATTGGAATGATTCATGGTTCAATCTTTGTTAATCGAATCCGTGTTGTTGTTGATACGTGTTGGGATGTGTTTGGACATGGTTTTGAGTTCCACGAACGAACACCGAACCAAATAATCTTCCTCGTACCAGTGGGGGGGGGGGGGTAGGTGGAGGGAACGAGTCCCCGCCACCTACTCGCGGGTACGCTGCCCGATTCCAGCGGGCAGTCGATTGCCCGCCGGGCACCCGCTGGAATGTGACCGCCCCACCGACGGGTGGTCCCCACCCGCTGGAACGGAGTGGCGCGGCGGGTCGTTTTTTCTCGTTTGTTGTTTCCCCGTGTCCCGTTGTACCCCGTTTGTTGTTTATGAGTCTCGTATGATGTTTTAAGTACCGTTCTAGGAATTTATGTGTAGTTCGTATCGTTGTTATTATACATTGACTGTTATTGCTGATTAAATGTTGATTGATTGAATGATGATGGGTACCGTGATCATTGCGCAATGATGATTGAGATTGTGATTGGTGGAAATGAATTGTTTGCGGATAGCACAACGAGTGCTCGGTTATCGTGCTAAAGGCACGAACCACCCCTTAGACTTGCTGCCTAAAGGCTTGGGTCAGGGTATAAGCGCCGCGGTGCCATGTCAGAGCTATATGCACTAACCCCTTGGTAGTGGTGCTAGAGGCACGGATCATGCTAATGGCACTTCGGTGCTACCATGTTGGTGGACTTGTTGGTGGTATGTCGGTGGGGGTATGTAGTTGCCCGGAGGGATAAGGGAGGCGATATAAGGGTGGACTAGAGGTACATGTTGGAACTGATATAAGGATGAAGAGGAGTAAAAGTTGGAACTTGGTATAAGGTTGGAAGATGGATTGTGTGCTTTGATGATTACTTGCTAATTGATTTTCATTGGATCCCATTGTTGCCTTTAATTGCTATTTAAGAGCTTACTTGTCTATTATGCCTTGCAAACGTAGAATGCATGCTAGTATCTCTATAATATTCCAAATGTTGCCTTATTGATGGTGTCTCGAGTCTTGATCTTGGTTTTAAAGCTAGAGTTGCTCAGGATTATATATGTATTCCAGTTTCAAAATGATTTCTTATATTTATATTTATTGTACTTAACGTGTGAGAGTGGGTTACTAAGCATTATTCACTGACGGTTGCTATACCATATGTTTTACAGGTGCTGATCATTAGCTACGGAGCGCGCTAGTCGGACTCGTGGACTTAGCTTAGTTAGTCTTAGTAGATGGCCTGCATGCCGTGGATTGTATTTGAATATTGACTTATGAATTACACATGTTTGGATAGTTTTAGCCTGTGTATCTAGGTTCTCAAACCTAGGTGTGGCATAGCACCCCGACTCTTTTGGATAGTTCATGTTCTGTTTGGATGATTATTGTTAGATTGCCTTTATTATATAAGCTTTAAATGTTTTAAAAATTAGGGGTGTTACAATAAATGCCAAAGCGTTTTTCATGGTTGAGAGCATCTCTAACAGTTGTGGTTTTTGAGAAGTTTTTGCAGGTGTGATTGGGAAAGATAAGATGTGAGGAGAGAGAAAAAGAAAAAAAACAAAACAAAACAAAACAAAACTGAAAAAAAAAATAAAAATAAAAAGTGTTGTAACTCATTAACCATAATTGATCAAAGGAATTGCAGAAAGAGAAAGAAAATAAGAGACAAAGCAAGAGTATAATTTTTATTCAACTTCATCATCTAATACAAGGGGTACACCTCCATATATATAGTGAAAGGATATAAATCTACACTCGCATGGGCTTAGCTTAATGGTTTAGTGGTAATATTTGGGAGATGAGACCAAGGTTCAAACCTTGGTGGTGGTAGTGTGTGAATTATGTTCACGGTGGGCAGATTCTTTGTGCACACTGGCATTTGTCTCTAAGTATATAAAGAGCTATAAATGTGTCTTTTACAAATATTGTCCACTACATAACACTCCCTGCACACTGTCATTTGTTCCTCTAAGGATATAAATCTACATAATGAGCTATAAATAAATAAATGCGTCCTTTACAAATATTGTCCACTAAATAACACTCCCCCGACATGTTAAGAAAAAAGTACAAGATATAGTATATTTAATTTAAATATATTCACGTCTCATTAAAAACTTCATTAAAAAAAAAAACCTAAAAAGCAGTCATTAACATGCCACTATATCTAAATATATTCCCGTCTCATTAAAAACTTCATTAAAAAAAAAAACCTAAAAAGCAGTCATTTAAAAACTTCATTAAAAAAAAAAAAACCTAAAAAGCAGTCATTAACACGCCCGGCTAGGCACGTGGACATACTTTTTTAATAAAAATCAACTCCTTGCAGGAGGATTTTTATTTTTCTCTCTCCACTTCTTATGTCCTCCTCCACATAAGCTTATTAGTGTCAAATACCGTGTAAAAATCATACCAAAAACACAAATACAGATGCTCTGAAGTCAATTCAGTTGGAAGGGTATTATTCTTCCCTTGAGGCTTCTGCCAAGCCCTTGGAAGCTAAAGCATGTTTCCTTTTTAATTTTTATTCAAAGCTAACTTTGTTTACAAAATGAGTTAAATATATATATCTTGTTTGGTAACATAGTTAATTTATTAGTCAATTTTGATTTATTTGATCACTATTAACTATTTAATTTGGTTAAACAATCAATAAGTAATTTATATCGTGCACCAGAGCGCGCATTGCATTGTGCGCCCTGATGCAAAACGACGTCGTTTAAGTTTTTTTTTTTTTTTTTTTTTTTAAAATTTCGTTGTCCTGTGTTGGCGGTTAATTTTTAATTTTTATTTTTTAAAACTCATGTTCAAAAATGTACATAATTTTATACTAGAATACACATAATTGTATACATGAATGTACATAATTGTATAACAAAATACACATACTTTTTTTTTTTAAAATTTCCTGATTCGGATGTACATAATTGTATAAAAAACATGTACATAATTGTATAAACAAATACACATAGTTGTATAAACAAATACAAATAATCATGTCAACTCCCTACATGACTTACCAAAACGACGTCGTTTTGGAAGGCGCAGGGCGCACACTACTATGTGCGCCGTGGTCATTGTTGCAGTAGGCGCTAGGCGCTAGTCGGGTGTCCGGACAGCACCTAGCGCCTAGGCGGAATAGGCGGCGCTAGGCGGGTGCCAAAAAAACAGTGGTAGACTTGCAGTTTGACAATTTTAATGAGGTTGTTTTCAACATTTAATCAAATAACACATCCAAATAAATGAATTAATGATAATTCATAAGCCATAACATCAAAACAATGATTTAAAAAAAAAAACATTAAAACAATATTAAAAAATAAAAATACTCAAATATGAAATACTCAAATACTTCAATCATCCAAAGATTCAAAGTGTCAAACTAGTCTACGAGTGTATATATGTCATATTATATATATGTATGCGCGCGCGCGCACACACACACATATATATAATAAAAAAATAGGCCGAGCCGAACGAGTTAACTCGACCGAAATGGACGAGTTAACTCGACTAACTTAGATGCTAGGCGGCCAAATCGGTCGAGTTAGGCGCTAGGCGGACGCCTAGGCGGCCGGTAACCTAATAGTAAATTAACTGTTAGAAAACGGTATGTGTTAGGTTACAGGTGATGATAATTTTTCTATTGTATAATTTTTGCATTTTCTAGAGTACGTTACATCCCACTTTATTTTATTTTATCCAAACTAGTTACATCCCACTTTATTTTATTTTATCCAAACTAATTATTCAATCATAGCTATCGTGGTTTGAGTTTCCACAAGTGTCGGGCTTAACTTGTATAGTTGCATATCTACCTCTACAAACTTAATAAGAGCCAATAAAGTAAGGTCCTTAACGGGAACTAAAAAATATTGGTGTGAATTGTTTGTTAAAATGAATGATTCATATTATTTTGATTTTGGTATTTTTTATATTAATTTTTCTACTTTATCTTTTATTATATCATTTACTTTTTCTAAATACCTTGCATTCCATTAGTGTAAACTTTAGAAACAGAATAATGAGAATATTCCGTTAACTATTTATTATTCTTAACTTACTCATTGATTTTCATAAGAAAGGTCTTAGGTTCAAACTCCATCCCAATCAAAATTGACATAATTGTTAAACATATACTATGAATATGTTAGAGTGTATTAATAAAATACGATATAACAACCAATGTGATTGCTCACTCTCTGGCCAAAGCTTCTTGCTGGTATACAATAATTATGGCTTTGTTTGGTAGAACTTATGGTTATTTTAAGCTACAAATAAGTTATAAGCTTTGTTTGGTAAAACAAGCTTAAAATAATAACTTATTTTGAAACGCTATCCAAGTAATATAATGTGAACTCCTCGCTTTTAACTTTTTTTTATTAATTTTTTTTATCTTTATTAATTTACAAAAATAATATCATTTACTATTTATTAATCAAAATTTTAATATCTTAGTTTATCTTTTTATGTCTTTTTTACACTTATCAAGAATTAATTTTACTAAACACTTTAATTTTAATTAATTAACTTATTAACTACTAACTTTTTAGCTTTCAGTTAGGCGTGCCAAATAGAGTCTATGTATATGCAAAACTTTTATGCATGTATTATATAGAACACATTTGCAGGCCATTAAGATGATGACCCAATTTCACTTAGCTTTCGGGAATCGTGCAGGACTCACCGTATCTACATATAGAAGAGGACTTGGCTGAGATCAAAGTGGGTTAACTACTACTCCCTCCGTCCCGAATTGGTTGTCTCATTTGCTTTTTGCACGCTTTTTAAGGAATTAAAGTAAATGCTATGTATTTTCCAATTATGACCTTCACTTTTTCACTTTTGGAAATAAAAGTAAAAGTCATAAGGGTAATTTGAGAAAAAGTAGAATGATGGTGATGTTCAATTTTAGAAAGAGGACAACATTTTGGGACAAACTAAAAAGGAAAGTAAGACATGCAAAATGGGACAGAGGGAGTATTAGAGAACTGGTATGTACGTAGATAGATACATATATATCTAAAATCTGCTATTCAATTCCAACATACTTTTTGGTTTATTATGAAAATAAACGTGATTAGTTTTCTGGCTGCTTTTACAAAAAATGCATTTCATGTTCTTTGACAGCCAAATGTTCTCATTTGCCGCAGGACATTAAGGATAAACTTTTTCAATCCCACATAATTGAGAGTTGTGGGCTCCAGTCACAACAAAGCAACTTTTTTCAAATCAAAGTAACAGAGTCTAAAGAAAAAGCTTCCGGAATTATGGCATCAAGCCTGGCCAAAGCAACAGATTAACGGAATACAGTTGTTCAGGGTTATAACAAGTGTTGCAAAAATCCCGCCTAGGCACCAATTAATCGGCGCTAGGTGTTGGCCGGGCGCCTAGCATATCACCATAACCGGTGGTCTAGGCGGCTGACCGGCTAGGCAGGCGACTAGGCCGCCTAAGCGCTGCATAGGCCGCTTAGGCGCTGATCGCCTAGGCCTCCTAGGCACCGACTAGGTCGCTTAGTCGACCGATTAACTATTGTTCATTTTTTTAAAAATGAGTTATTTCACTCAAAACGACATCGTTTTGAACAAAATAATCCTAAATTGTTCAAACTCTAGATGTTTTTTAGGTTAATATTTAATATTTTAGTATTAACTATTAAAGTATAAATGCTTTATAATTATCGAGTCTTAAAAAATCTAAAAATTTTAAACATATTTTTAAAAACTAAAATAAAAAATAAAAAATATACGGGCGCCTAGGCGCCCCTCAACGTCTTAGGAGCGCCTATCGATTTTTTCAACCATGGTTATAACCACTGTTGCAAAAATCGGTCTAGGCGCCCTTAGACCGTGTCGATTTCCCCCCTAGGCGCCCGCCTAGCGTCTAACTTAGCCGAGTTAACTCGTTCATTTCGATCGAGTTAACCCGGCGGTCAGCTCGACCTTGCTAATTTTTTGTCATTATATATGTGTGTGTGTGTGTGTGTGTGTGTGTGTGTGTGTGTGTGTGTGCGCGCGCGCGCGCGAAGACCTTGTGGTCTAATGGCACCTGGGTTGGACTCCCATATGGGAGGTTGTGAGTTCGAGCCTCAGTGGAGGCGTAATATGACACATATACACCCGTAAACTAGTTTGATACTTTGGATATTTGAGTATTTTTGATGTTATGACTTATGAATTATCATTATTTCACTTATTTGGATGTGTTCTTTGATTGAATGTTGAAAACAACCTCATTAAAATTGTCAAACTGCAAGTCTGCCACTATTTTTTTGGCGCCCCCTAGCGCCGCCTAGATTCCTCCTAGGCTGCCCGACTAGCGTCTAACGCCTACTGCAACCATGGTTATAACCAAAGAAAAGAGTAGCATAAAAGTGCGAGACAGATGGCTAGTGATGCTTTAAGGCCATTTTGGTAAATGACTGTTAGATGATAGCTGTTAGCTGTTAGCTGATTGGGTTAATTAGAGGGTATAACTAGTTCATAACATTAGCTGATTGTAGAAAAGTGTTTGGTAAATTAGCTGTTAGTTGATAGTTTTTTGATATAATTTCTTTTCTCAAAAAGTTGATTGAAAATGTTGTTTTGAGTATGAATTTTAACATTTTGGAGTACAAAAAGCTAATTAATCAAACACTTGTATTGATTTTTAAACAAAGTCAAACAACTAATAGTGATCAAATAAGTCAAAATTAACCTATAAGTTAACTATTTTACCAAATAGGGTCTAAATGTTTTCATGAAAGACTTTTTGCATTCCATCCCAATAGTGTTTCTAGAGGATAAGGCAACAATGATATCTTTCTTTGAAAACACTAAAGTTATTTCTAAAATTCCTAGCATGTGGTCAAGGGGTCCCATGGGGAATAAATTATGCAAATTCTTACTTGGTATGAGGTTTCTAATTGTTTTGTACAATGTGTTAAGCAATCAAGCTTTGGCTGACATCAAACAATGTGTTCCTGATGACAATGATGACAAAGTTGGAAGTTGCATATTAGTAACCACTAGCCACCTCAAACCATATTACTTCCATAATAACTGTTGGATTTTTAGCATAAGTGGCAATTTTGAGTGTCTATTTTGTAGTACAAATATATGTGGGGTCCATTTCTGATTTGGGTCGGGTCAAAGTGGATTTGCACTCTTCGTAGTGAGATGAAGAATTTGATATAATATACGCTCAAAATGGGTAATAGGTGAATGAGAAATTTATTCTGATCTCAAGGTGAACTTATTTGAGAGAAATAAAAAATGTTGAATAATGCTAATTTGTTAGCAATTACGAAAGGTGGGTTAGCATTTGAATTAGTTCTTAATTAGCACTTTATTAAAGCTTTAATTGAAAGGCTTTAAGTGCTAATTATAGCACTTAAATTCGTAGTGCTTCAGTTAGCACAAATTGTTGCTAACTATTTAGCACCGAATCAGTGCTTATGGAAAAGCATCGATTCGTGCTTTGTATAACACGACTCGTGCTTAATTGCTAAGTACTAGTTCGTGCTTCAATTCGTGAAGCACGAGCTGATATGTGTTTTGATGCTTTGATGCATTGATTCGTGTTTTATTTCGGATGTTTTGGTCAATTCCGAATCGTTAACCTTTCGTTTGTACGAATTCTCAGTCACTGAGATATTTTTGAAACAGGTCGTTATAGTCGGTATGAATTAATTGTACATTAATTTCGTGACCGTTGATATTATTTCGATAATAAGTATTACCGTTTCAAACATTATAATCCTATTATTAAATTGGATTAATGTGCCATGAATATGCTACTTAATTCCCCTCTTCCTACAAATACTTGATATGTTGGCATATTGTTTTCACGCCATTTGAAACTCTCAAAAACTATTGCTTTTTCTCTCCACTCTCCCTGATTTCAAAAGAGAAAAATTGTCTGCCTACAACAATTCCGTAAAATATCGGAGTGCTCAACTTGTGTTGTTGTTCGCCAGGCTTTGGGTTTGAGTGCTCGGACGCCAAAGTCGTAGTCTATTTTATCCTGGGAGACTGGCGCCACAACGCTCCTAGCACCTTTGGGAGGGAGCATCGGTTTTAAGGAGAGTGTGTGTACACACGACTCGGGCTTCCACTTCATTATTTCCTTCTCGTTGGGTTAAAACCTCAGGTTAGAAACCCTTTCTCGATTTATTTATTTTGTTCTTGGTTTCGTAACAAGTGGTCGGATTAATCTCGTAAAGATTAAATCTCTTGTACTAGTTTCGTACTAGTTGTGGTGGATTATTTTTGATAAAATAAATATATTATATATATACTGTTATATATATTTCGTATATATATATGTATGTAATTTTGGTTTTGTACCAAAATTGGTTGGAATTAATTTTCTATAAATTAAATTCTAATTTTTAGTGTATATATATATATATATATATATATATATATATATATATATTGTATCGACATCCAACATTAATTATGTCCATAAAATGACTTTGCTAGATCGAAAAGCTAGAAAGTTTGGAATTATTTTGTAATACCCTTAATATTGAAGAGCACTTCCCCTAAATTTGAAAAAATTAGGAATCATGTTGTGGAGAAATGTGATTGATTACCCATGTTAATTGTTGAAGTTTCCAAGCGTTTATCTAATTGCAACAACATACAACAAGGGTGGAAGAAGATTGAAAAGGAATTAGTTGTGGAGAAACGTGATGGATTACCCCAGTTAATTGTTGAAGTTAACAAGCGTTTATCTAAATGCAACAACATACAACAAGGATGGACGGAGATTGAAAAGGAATTAGAGTCATTGGGAATTCTAGATTGCAATGCAATCAATTACAATCCATTGTCACATAATTTGAAAGTTTGCTTTCTATATTTTGGAGTCTTCCCAAAACGTAATAGAATTCTGGTTACAATGCTTATAAGGTTGTGGATCGCTGAGCGGTTTGTGATGAAGCCATTGGAACATAAGGAGTTAGATGGTCAAGCTTATGAGTATTTACTAGAGCTTATTAATAGCAGCCTTCTCTTAATTGAAAATAGAACTTCTGACGGCAAAATTATGACTTGTGGAATGCACGTATAGTTCTATGCATAGCTTCTGTGTAGGGGAAGCTAAAAAAGAAGCTAAGGTATTTTATGTGCAGTAAATACTCAACAGCATTTAGGATTTTCATTGGACACATTTGCAAATTCATGTCGTTGGCTAAGTTTTTACTCACATAGTTTTGACTATATGTTCTCTTTGGTACAAATATCACTTGCTTCATTTTCTTTTTTCATGGAAATCCTAAAATGTTTTTTCTCTCAAGCTGTTAAGAGTTTTTTTTTTTTTTAATTTTTTTTTAAATTTTTTTTTATACTTCTATATCACTTCAAAGAGTGTCAATACAATTAGGGGATATAGTTTTTTTTTTTTTTTTTTTTTTTTTTTTTTTTTTTTTTTTTTGTGAGATACCTTTCCATAACACAATGGTTTGATGAGTTGAACGATGTAGTGTCAAATAATCCAAATTTAAAGATACTTGTTATTTGGAAGCCACCAAACTTAAGCCATCTCGAACTTGGAGATTCATATATGGTAGATCCTCCAAGTGCAGATAAAAGGAATTTACAAACATTATCTTGGGTGGTGAGACCAATTCATTGCAGACAAAATGTGTACAACAAGTTCCCTAATATAAAAAAGTTGAAAATATTGCCGAAGGATGACATAGAGCCCCCTAGTCACATTTGAGGATGGTGCAGCAATCCTATTACTTTGGATCATTTTGACTATTTGGAAGGGCTTGAGAAGCTTAGCATTTCGGATTCCATTTGTTTCAATGCAGCCCTTTCAGAACAGTGTATGTATCCTTTAGGACTGAAAAAGTTGAAGTTGAGTGGGACTAATATTTCTTAGTGGGATTTAAATGTAATTACCAAGTTACCCCAACTTAAGTGTTCAAGTTGCAAAATGCCTTCCATAGAACAGTATGGAACTCACTATTTAAAGGAGGATTTCCTGTACTAATATTCTTGCTCCTGGAAGCTAAAGAACTCACTTTCGGATGCTCAGACACTTGTCTGAAGATCCCGTAATTGTTTGGAATGGATCCCTATGGGTTTTAAGATCCTGAATTCTATTGAGTTGGAGGGGTGTATGTGACGCTCCGTAAATCCAAACATTAATCGAAGATTAATTGAAATATTAATCCAAGTCTCTTTGCTAATCTATTCCTAAAAATTCTGAAATTTAATAGTAGAGGAACTAGATTTTGACTAGTCACTTAAGTCAAAGTGTTGTACCTTGTGCTTCTTGAGTTGTGCCCTTGTTCCATTGTCTTTCCAACATTAGTAACGGTAGGAATGTCTTTCTACCTAAGGATCTTGATTCAAGCTAACCTAGCAAGACTCTTTCATTTCATTCACCCTTCAACCTAAAACACAAAAACTCTAGCTTCTCTTTAAAATGATTTAGCTTCTTCTCCAAGCTAGAATTTGAGCATCCAAGTCTTGCAAGATTTTCTCCCAAGATTCCTACTTTCTTCATCTTGAGCATAGGGAAGGGTAAGATCCATGGCTTTTTGGTGTTTCTAACCTCCTTTTAGGTGTCTTTTTCTAAAGTTAGGATCTTTGTTGTG